GCAAGATTATGTTTTTTTGAGGCTTCAGAGGTTTTTGTACAGCCCTGTAAAAAAGTCAGCTCTTTTATAAAATTATATATTTATCCATTTTAGTGGCAAACTCACTTTGTTCGATGCGTTCGTTCCAACAACGAACGACTTCCTGCTCATCTTGATGAACCAACTCTAGCTCGTCAGATCAAGAATTTATATATCGTCGAGACCTTGCAGTTTCGAAAAGCTGGATTCCCTGTACGAATACCATTCGAGCGATTTGCGAGAAAGTTCGTGTAAAATTTTCTTTCATTCAATAGGATGCTAGCAAATGCCTTTACAGCTATCGTTGCCTTCTGCCATCGGATATAGCTCTATGCCAAAATCAAAAAGAAATCATCGATGATATCCTTGATGGACAAGGAGTAAAATTTGCAGATGATTACAGAATTGGTAGGTAAGAACATGTAGAATGCGCCTCTAGCATTTGAGAAAAACGGAATGCGACGGTTTTCTCCGTCGCGACGTATTTATTTCGAAAAAAATAGGCGCGACAGAAAAAACCGTCGCATTTCGTTGGTTTTCCCAAGAGTTAGGTGCGTTACTGAACTTTTACTTTTGATTTTACGCGTTTTTTTGTAGGAATGAATTATGTCTTTATGCGAGATCGACTTGCAAACAGACTACAGAGCCTTAGGGAAAAGACTCAACGAGAAGCTGCGTACGTGATCCAGAAGACCATGCGAGCTTATGTGGCTCGTAAGAGCTACCTTAAGAAGAGAAATGCTGTGATTAGACTACAAGCTGGTTTACGTGGTTGGAAAGCGAGGTTAGAATGTTATAGAGCAAATTTCTTTTCGAAGGAGAAATAATTATTTTCAGGAAGGAGTGCAACGCCATGCGTGAACGATTATTCAGTAATCTCGGAGTTCAGTCAAAACGGAATAAACGCCTGAATGCTTACCATGAGTCACTTTTAACCGAAACTTCTGATAAGGTCAAGTTACTAAAATATTATAGACAGTACATACCTCATATAAAGCATTTTACAGAGCTCAAACCCATTCACTGCGCCTCTGATCAAGGACA